AATAAAATAAACTCTCAAATTTAAAAATAAATAAATAAGAAAAAAAGGGGCTGAAAATCAACGCGATACTTGGGGCATGTGAAATTCAATCGTTTTGACTCGTATCTTCACAGTTACATAAATTGGACGGCTCTGATTTGACCTATCCTCAGCAAAAAAGAAAATTTGATGGTGTCTTTCTCTGCACACGTGGTAAGACTTTTGTCACTCATGATCGGTTGGCCGAATGATCTTAGAAAATAATTTATATCGTAAAGACATACCATTCTTTTTTGACAGTAGTCGTTGCTGTCGTGGCAGTCGCGTTCGAATCCGCTGTCTCGCGATTGGAGTCGTGTATCGTGAAATCTAAAGTAGACCACATATCATCCATATCGGCTGTGCAGCGGTCTAGTATCACTCTGTATTCAATAAAATAAGGACAGTCAAATAAATGTCATTCCATCTCGTAACATTTATCACGTCGCAGACATCGTACCTGCCACCACGACCAATTCTCCGTCGTGCGAAACCAATACACCTTGGCACCGGTTTGCTAATGCTAGTCAGCGCAAACCTGTACTTTTTATCAGCAATACCGCCTTCGTTTTTATCACACCAAGGCCAATTTCCAAAACCACCTGATGCAGGCTGTAAAGAAAAAAGTTATATTAGAATAATTTAAAATCCTAAAAAATAACTGTCAGATTCGTATCCCTAATTTTTAATGATCTGTCCAATTGCAGTAACGGATTCTTTACCGAAAGAATTCTAAACTTAAAAGTGTACAGTATCATATCGATCAATCAATTTCAATCCGGCAACAATCAACGAGTAATGATAATTGAATTAATATACATCCAATAAATAAAAATTATTACAATACATTACAGTATTTAACTTAAAATTTTGCCAATATTTCTTACATTTACACAATTCAAGAACAATTAATATAACAACAAGCTTGATAGAATTCTATTGATAGAATTAACAATTATCCTGAGAAAAAAAAGTGTAGAGTGACTTACCGGTAAATAAGAGCTATTCCTATTGCGACGAAAGGCGAATTGACCCTCGTCTGCAGTGTCTTCGTCATCGCGATCGGAGGGTAACGAGGGTTGGGAGTGCGAATGAGATGGAAGCGGGCTATCTTCATCTGAACTGATGAGCGGGTCCAGCCCGCTTCCGAGAACTCCTGGGCGATTTCCTCGGCCGCCGCTACTACCCGTTCCGCTACGAATGCCAGTTTCGTCCAAATTTCCTCCCCTGCTATTCGTTTTATGTTTCCGTTTCTTGTACTGTCTCTTTTCTTTCCTGGGCACAACTTCGTCCTAAATTAAAAGAGAAACGATGTTAACTATTATTGCACAGCAGATCTGAAGACGGATATCGTTCCTTCGGAACGTTTAAAGATAAATAAAGACAAAAGTATCAAAAGTGAACGAATTTTGACACGTACTTTACAAACTTTGTTTGTCCAATTTTGATGAACGCCAAACTGGTTGGTGAAGAGCGGAGCAAACGCCGGCCTCGGTGCCTTTAACGCAGACACCTCTTGCAATATTTGTCCACTGAAGTCTTGCGCTTGATACCTGTGAAATCAGATGTAAAATTCCCATTAATAAACACTCATGTAATATATGCAAACAACGGTTATCGTCATTTCATACAAACCGTTTCTCATAAATCTCGATTGTGAGATGCAGATGCTCCCGTTTCGTCTTCTCTCGGCGTTTCACCATCTCCAGAAGCGTGACCGCTCTACTGAGGTCCCTACGAAGCTTCAGCATTTTCTCGTAGCTGGTTTCGTCGTTCTTGCGATTTTTACGCGTTTGCATTTTCTCCGTGCGTCGCCTGAACGCGAGATACGGATTTTTGGCAGCCGAGCCGAATCGATTCTCCGTTTTGACCGATAATAGCAAGGGATGTTGCTGCGAAAAATATACGGTATTATTAATATTGCATTCAAGAAATTGATTCAGAAACGCTAGAGATTTCATTGGTTGTATAGAGAAAAATAGGGAGAGAATTCTCGTAAGATAAAATTTATACGCATTTCTATATTAGTAATAAATAATTTAAGACGCATATAGACTGGTAACATAACCTCAAAAAGCAAATTATAAAAATGCGATGCTCACAGTTTTAAGACGTTTGTTGAGCCAATAATCGAACACCGCGATAATTAAATCGTCGTCCTCTTTCAAAAGTGCCTTGGCCTCGTTGAGGGTAACTACAGTTTGTCCTGAACTCTTCTCCAGACGATCCATCATTTCCTCAAATTGCAGAGGAGTCAATTCCATCTTACGGCTTTGCAGCGCAACCCACTTTTCGTCCTCCGAATCCATATCGTAGTCAGGTATGTCTTGTTCCATAGCAAAGGCTGCAAATAAAGGGCAAATTCATTAATTATTTATCAAAAAGCACTAAAAAAATATATAATAAAAATGGCATTTTAATCCACTTACGTTGCATATGTATTAATTGGCGAGGCAGCTTATAATCAGAAGGGTATATCTTGTTATAAATTTCCACATCTGCCAGATCGGTCACTTCAGGAGTAGGAATGATTAGACCTGTGCATATCGCTCTTTGAAGATGATGTTCCTGAAAAACAAATAGAATTCATTAAAACCATAATACAGTCCCATCCATCATGCAACTATCATTGTTACACATATAACTTTAAAAATAATATAATTACAAAAGTGTATTTAATACATTTAAATGAGCTTAAATTTGTTAAAAAAAATCTCGTTACAGGATTCATTCCAAATAATTAATTCGATATATCTCATCCGAGTGTCATAATTATACAAACATTATCAAATTATGTATGTATTAAGTAGAGTAAGCATATTCGAATACTATGTCAATCAATCATTTTTATGTAATCTCGTCTCTAATATAACATGTTTATCATATACATTACAGAAAAAAGCGAAACGAACTTATATCATCAATCAATGAATTGTCATATCAAGATATGTTAAGATGTGACAAAGAAGTTAGAAATTATAAATCTACTTATTGATTTGACGCTACACGACTGCGAATGTGTTTTCAACTTGTAAACAGCGTCTACCATGATGCATGTACAACAAATTGGAGTAATAGGGCATCCATTTTATAGTTTCTCGGTAGAAAGAGATTCTGGCATATCGTCGCCCCCAAGTCAGAGACTCCCACACCTAGGAGGCATCGCGAGGGCATTGTCCAAGCGTCAGGAGGAGAAACGCTTGACGTTTGGACGCCAGGGTGCCAGGTGCAACGTAGGGTGACACGGGGGCTCGCGTTGACGGCGAATCAGACGTTGACATCTGTCGCGAGGTGTCAAGTCGGGGACAGGAGGGTACGGGGAAAATGATCGAGGATCGCGGGCATGCTGGTAATTGCGTTAAACGTGGAAAATTAACAATTTTCCAGGGTGCCCGACGACGGGCGGGCCGCCATCTGCCGGTTGTTTACGAAATTCTACGCCGTGGGTAAGATGGCGGACGGGGAAAACATGCTGGAACGAGATGCTGGACGTTCCGACTTACGCATTCCTCCTCCTTTTCCATGCCGCTGGGCATTTGGGGCACCGCGCGGTTAATGGCCGAATAATCTGGCAGATCCGGCAGCTCCTCGGCCATGTAGATCGGCATGGGCTTGGAGGCGTCCAGGGCGCGCGCCCTGAACGACAGCTTGCTCATCCTGAGGGCGGCTGGCTCGCGCGTGTTGACAACCAAGGATGGCTGGCCGCACCGTAAGAGGCCAGTCGGGTCGGCTGGGGGGGCCTCGGGTTTCGCGGAACGCCGTGGGCCTGGCTACTGAGGCCTGGCTGGGGGCCCTGGGGCCGAATTACCCGGCACAGAGAGCGCTCAGGGCCTCATCGTTCCCCGGCCATCGCGCTGGAACACGGTCACTCAGTCACCAAACGAGATATATCACTTTGAAAACATGTTTGCGTGACACGGTCCCTGCTCAAAGCCATCATGGCCGACGCACAGCCATTTAACACGTTCGGCCGCCGCCGTGCAGTTCCGCGGGCCGACGTGCGCAGCGCGGGAATCGCCGCGTCGCCCGTCGCCGCCGTTGTGACGCGGCCCGCGCACGCCTATTGGCCGCCGACACTCCCGCCGTATGTCGAGTACACACCGTGTTCGCCTCCGTTCCGCCACGCGGAACTCACTCAAGCGTCGTCCCGAGAACGAATCGCACCGCGGGAACGAGACGCTCTCGAAAAAATCGCCGTCCGCCGGATCGACAGAAGGCACGCTCGCGACGCGTCGACGTTGTCGCATTCAATTCAATCCGTCCTCTCTTATCTCTTCATGTTTATCTAGACATTTCTGGAGCAGATTCGCATATGTGTGTGTCGAGCACCTAGGCCTGAAACAAGAGTTTACAAATATTGATTTTTTTATCCAAAAAAATGTACATTGCTTTATCCATTACGTTTCTCCATGGCATTTCCCGTTACATTATGTTCAATTATTGCGTCACAACAAAGAGCGAGAATTTTTTATTATTACAAAGAAAGAGCAGAAACGAGAGGCACACGCGTTCAGGCAGAACCCGCGGTACCCGCGCATGCGTCGCCGCTGGCGCGGCAAGCGCTTGAAGTTGGCCGCGGACTGGCCGCCGCCGTCGAACCGCGCCAAATCCGAAATGGGAACGCGCTTCGCGTTGCGATCAGATTCATTCATTTCGGCCACGACCTGCGATGTGTTGCTCCGCGTTTAAAATAAAATGGCACGCGTCTTGGACGTCTTCGGGGAGAGAAGTACGAGAGACCCGCGAGAAGCAGCGGAATATACTTGGCACGATATTTCTCACTGAAGCGAACGAATCTGTCGCGTTTACCCCCCGACGAAGGCGCTCGAAGCTGTCGACGCGTAACGCGTTCACCGTCGAACGGCGCCAAATGCGCAGCACGTGTCCGCCGCCCGTGCCGAATGAAAAAGGGGCAGGAGACGCGGAAGATTAAACGGCGCGGTCACGTCGCGCGCTTGACTCACGTAGCGCCAGCCCGTCGCGGAAATCGCCGCGACGCGGAGTTCGCGAGTCACGACGACACTTGCATGGGCGTGCAACATGACGCAGACCGTCGCCGTTCTGACCGCGATTCCTAGGTTATCTTACCATCTGCGCTCGCGGCTGCCGAATCTGCGCATCTCGGACGTGACGCCAGGTAACGTAACGGTGGTCCGGACGCGTGCGACGCGACGCGACCGCGTCCCCGGGACGCGATCCCCGTTCTCGCGAAATCTCGTCGCGAGCGTGTGCCGCCGATAAGCGACCCCCTCGCGTACGAGCACGTGTCGAATTCCCACTGCCACTGGCGCGCGGCCCTCCCGCCACGCCCGCGAGGGGACGCGCGCGCCGCAGCGGGAAAGTTCGACCCTGTTGCGTTTCAGCGCGCGATCCGAACTGACGCTGAGCTATAGGGAGAGGATTTTTGCTAAGCGGATCTTTAAATTCTCGTAATTCTTAAATATACCAACCTTGCGTCAGCGCCCAAAAAATTACGATGTATGACACGCTACTCGCATCGGAAAGGCCAATTTTCGAATTATTATCTAAACATGTGTATTTCTTTAAATATACAGGACAAGCAGATACCGCATCCAGGCTTAACGCGGCAGAAATATTAGTGGCCGACTGTGATTTATTGGCACCTTATGCGAACAAATTGACGTCGGTCAAGTGGATACAGGTGACATGGGCCGGCTTAGACAAATTCATTCCACATGTGCAAAACACGCGAAGAGATTACATACTGACTCGTTTCTCCGACGATTCATTTGGCCTGGCCATGTCCGAATACGTGATAGCGAAAATTGTCAATTACGAGCGTGATCAGAGACAGCAGTACGAGAATCAACGGCTCGCCGAATGGAAGCAAGACGGCAGGTTGATTAACCATAGGCTCATACGTGACTTAACTATAGGTATATTAGGGGTAGGAACGATAGGAAAGACGGGTAAGTTGTGCGAATAACGAGAAACCTAAATCTTACATCCAACGTGTGCGAGCAAAGTATCAATAAGTTTTACACCTTTTAAATATTTTCATAGTCGCGGAAAAGCTGAAGTTATTTGGCGCGACTACCTGGGGAATGACACGTACCTTTTCGAAAGAGAAATTACCGTTCCTCGACGAGCACAGAACCGTAGACGGCTTGCCGGACATCCTGGAAAATTGCGACTATGTCATTAATGTATTGCCCTCGACTCAGGAAACGGTCGGACTTCTGAACGGCAACGTCTTGGAACATTGCAAAGGCAGGAACGCAGTTTTCATTAACGTAGGGCGCGGTTCCGTTATCCGAGAAACGGACCTGATAAACGCTCTCGAGCAGAAGTGGATTTCGGCCGCTATTTTGGATGTGTTTGAAAAAGAGCCGCTGCCAAAGGAGAGCAAACTGTGGAGCCTTCCACAAGTAAAACTGCACATAATTATAAAATAATTATCAAATAAAAAAGAAAGCTTTCATTTATAACTGATGACACTACGCATCTGTCTAGGTAACAATCTCACCACACAACTCGGCTGTGACAACGGCGCAGAACGTCGCGAAGCTATTCGCCGAAAATTACGCTAGATACGTAAACGGAGAAAAACTGATAAGTGAATTTGATTTTAATAAGGGCTATTAATTTAAAGTTAAAAATTTTAATCCATGTAAAGGGACTATACGGTGTTATATCGGGATGACAAGCGATACACACAATCAATATTTATTATGTTAATTAAAATATACGTACATATCGAAATAAACATATTTTGAACATCTTGAGCCGTATGATAATTGTTCCTGTTACAAGAATTTTTAAATTTCACACACAACTTAATCTCTTGCACTTATATTATAATTTTATAAAAAGATAAAATGTATGGCTATTTTTTATTCATTTTTAAAATAATTCTTTAAATTACGTATCTTTAAAATCATGTACTAAATATAGACATCTGTCATAACATAAAACAAAAGTCGCAAAATAAATTATATAATTTATTTTCGATTGAATATATGTCAAATAAATTATACAAATTGTTCTAGGTATCGAAATAATAAACTTTAAGTAACTGTTTTACTTAAATAAAAAAAAGAACTTATTATCTGAAGTAATCTGATTATATTGGCAATTTATCGATTGCTAATAATCTAAAGTATAAAAAATCTAAATAAAGAATATATGTTTTTATATTATATTATATATGAACACCATATATCTCTTTTCTCTCTCTCTCTCTTTTGCACGACGTACACATGGAGGTATATTAATGTGAATTATTGTGGATGTAGAAATCTATTCGGTAGGCGTCTCTTCGGTAGGCGTTTCTTCAATAGGCCGGGGGGATGGTATCAAACCGCGGATGCACAAGTCATACACTACCTCTTCGATCTTTTTTACATCATACTTGAGAGCGTCAAACCGTTTCCTCAATATATCGTTCTTTAAGTTCAATAGCCGAAACCCTGCGTTCAGTTCATTAACGAATGTCGCGATTTCCATCGGCCAATTGTAATGACCGTTCGTGACACTATTTACAGCGAAACGGCTCTAAAAAGAAATACGTCGTTACGAAACTATCGCGTGAGGGAATCACGGAGAAATTATCATGAAGAATACATACCAGTTCGGCGGATAACTGAAGCAGACCCAGTAAGAAATCCTCCAGATCCAGATGGAAGCCGTCCTCTCTGTTATTTTTTACTATAAGTATAATGAAAAAAAAAAATTATTCTTAAATTATTTATTAAAGTTCAATATAATATGTGAAAACGAATATTATTTAAATATTATTACTCCCGCAATTGTTTAAGCATTAAATATAGTAATTCGTATACCTCCTAATATTTCTGCAACAGTCTTCTTGTCGACCAAGACCTTGATTTCGAAATAAATTACTAGAGCAACTAGAAAGCACAGCCTCTGGGTGATGAAACGCCATTGATCATGGTAGCGATAATACTGATTGCTTGGTACCACTTCAGCCAGATTCGCATACTGTATCCTTATGTCGCCAAATATCTCTCTCGCCTTTGAACAATATTTCGACACAACTGTAATTTACCAATAGCAAGTAAATTATTACATATATAATACATATTATGTAACAATAAAAAAAATTAGTCCCAAAAACATACTTATATTCTCCTCCATCGTGTGATGCACCGTGTGAATATTTTGCAGTGTCATCAGTATATCCCTGGAATTTTTCTCGATGTTTTTCACGATGACACGGATTTGCTGTAAATACAAGACAAATTTTATGAAACGTCGAAGACATGTTACAATCAAATTCGATTTATTTTTGAATAAATCAAAGCTGAGGATAGGCAATATCGCGTCTTTTCGTCAATAAAAATTCTCGCATTTTCGAGGGTCCGTTTATTCTAAGACACGATGTTTCAAGCGGTACCAGAGTCGATAAAAAAAAGTTCCATAACATAAATTTATGTTTAAGCACTTTAAGAGGTTAGTAATTCTATACAAGCAAGTCTGGCCAGATGTTGGGAACGTGGAATTGGGAAATAGACGAGCTTATTAAATTCACGCGACGTCTTCGCGAACTTTCTCTCGTCAGAATTAAAACAAGACGAAACGTGAATTTGCCGCGACGAGAGACAATCTGGCGCAACAATATAACCTAACAAGAGAGAAATAGCCCGTTCTCGAGGAATACCGTCGATACACACCTCGCGCACTTCCTGCTCGTTGTTCAGACAGTCCTGAAAGGAGTTGAACATCTCCGTTATCGCCGAGGACATGGTGTCTTCCATTATTTTCCCGATGTATAAATGCACTCTCGCACAATATTGAAGTTGTGTATAAATCACTCGACGATCAATCTTCTCGTATACTGGTCAGAGGCGACGTCGCCATCGCCAAACGTCGGCGTGACATCTGTGCGCTCGCCGTGGGTACTACGTCGCCCGGTGGTTCGCTGGATCGAACAGATGGCGGTAACGTGCAGTTTTCGAACGCGATAATGTGTTTCGAGTGTATCGAGTTACAGTCAGATAGCGCCAGCTGTTCAGTTGAGTTGGTCGCGTTCAGTGCTCCAATCTTTTACTCCTCGACAAAAAAAAAAAATTGCGCGATTGTAAGAAGATACGGAAGACTTGCAAATAGACGGAGGTAATTTCAGAAAGTTTATTCTCCCATTTGTGATTTATGAACAATTAAATACACATGTTCCCGTACGCCAACTTGATTTACGTACAAATCTAGCAATGATGAATAAAAAGATTGAATTTACATACTTAATGATTGGCAACAAAAAATTAAATTTGCAAACATCAATAACATTATAACTGGCGTGTCTAGCGTCAATTGCGTGTATATTATATGTTATATGAATTTATCATGTTATATATATTGTATTAATATATTAATATATTATTTGAATGCGCGAATAAAAGAGATAGAGAGAACTTTGTCGCAAAAAGCAAAATAATCTATTTTATTATGTATATATAATACACATTCCTTTGGGATCATTTTATCTCTTATTATAGCTCAATTATGATTTAATATTACGCAATTCCGACGACTTGTTGCGCACGTTATTTATTCATAATAATACACAACAGTGATTTTCGTGCTTATCTAAATTTTTCGAAGAATATTGTAATTAATTTAGTCAAATAGCCGAACGCTCCGGATCCTCGTTCCGATACCGGAACGCGCGAGGATCAAGCACGTATGGGCGGTGGCGCGATGTGGCGAATTCGAGCCGAGCAGCGGCGAGAGAGGCGGCGAGCGCGGAGCCGCGTCCGTTCGCAAGGTCTCATGCTCGAGGTGTATAAATAGAAACCAGTAGGTCCTGCTGTGCGCGCGCGAACTCAAGAAAGGCGGCAGCGGCGACGGCGACGGCGGCGGCGGCGGCGGCTTGGAATTCTGCATACAAGCCGCCCGCCGCGCAGCCTCACGCACAGGTCGCGGAGGACGCATCCCTCCAATGGGGGAGAGAATTCGCGGGCGTGTCATTGATCCCGATACCGGCGGCGGTTGAGCAACGTCCGCGGCGAGAAAGAGAGAGAGAAAGAGAGAAAAAGAGAAAGAGAGAAAGGGAGAGAAAGAGAAGGGAGAGGGACTCGTTTTATGGAAAAATCTGCGCGCGCCCACGTTCACGGGCGCGATCGTTCGCTCGCTCGCTCGCTCGCTCGAGTTAACTCGGCGCGAGAAGTCGCGCGGAATCCTTCGCCGATAGTCGGAAGCGACGTTTCCGTCCACTTTTTGCCAGACCGGACGGCCGCGGAAATCGGCGCGAAGAAAGAGAAAGAGAGAGAAAGAGAGTTGTTCTCCAAGAAACTTTTCCGTGCAAATTCTTAATAGGCTTAATTGATTTTGATCACATTGATTTTTTTTCACAATCAGTTCGATTCCTTTCTTTCCTCTTGATCTTGACATGGAAAGAACGATATTTTGCTGGATACAGAAAATCTGAAAATATTCTTGTTGCAGGACAAACCAATGACTAGAATATCAAAACGTTTTACAACTTAATATTTATTATTTTTTAGTTTCCAACAAAATTACTTTCAGATCAAAATTTGTAGATTTTCCAGCAAAATCGTTCTTTATCCGTGAACGTTTTCGATGTTTCGGTAACTTAATTTTTGATTGCTCTTGGAGCCTCGCGCTTAATGGAAATTAACTTGCGGGATCCTGTTAAAATTATCGCGCTCTCGTTACGCGTTTCACCGTCGCGCTTCCACCATCGGGGTCCGATGAAGAAACGATGAAGAGAGGCACACACTCGGCCTTGCGGCGGCCTTCGCCGGCTGCGCGGACCTCCTCGCGCTATATCCCGTTCTCGATAACTTTGGACGCTCGCGAATCTTTCCGCGGCTCGCGTTCCTTCGCGTTCCATCGATTAAAATAAAATAAAAAAAAATCGATCTCGCCTCCTGTTCTCCAGACCCGCGCTAAAAACGCGGCGCGATGTAATGGCGGCCGATAACATTCGTGAAAGCTCTTGCGGTATTTCTCCTCGTTATGTAAAGCGGTCAACAGCCCGCATACATATATATGTATGTACGCAAACGAAGCTCGTCCGTATACGGGAGAAACAGGAGGAGGAGGAGGAGAGGAGAGATGGTAGGGGCGATGATCAAGGGAGCCCCGTTAAGCTTCGCATTCCTCTCCTTCACGGGGAGGCGTCAATCTCAATAAAATCCTGCCCGGCATTGGATCGTCGTAAATTCGTGGTACCTCGCGGTACCACGCTCACGCTCCTCTCGTCCTCGTCCTCGCCACCGCCGCCGCCGCCGTCGCCGCCGCTGCGGTGTGCGCGCGCGCTATTTTTAGCGGTGCCGATGTTATCTCGGCGAGAAAATAACGCGGGCATACGTACGTACGCGGCCGGACCCCACCGTGCAAAGGGAGGGACCCCCTCGTCTCTCCTATCCCTTTATGACCCCAAGACGTTCCCCGGTTAACAACACGAGGGGAGGAGGATACTCGCGAGCGATTCGCGTGGGTAACACCTCGCGTGCTGTACGCGGCAACGCGCGATTCCCTGGAAAAGAGAAAACCCCGCTCTCGCTTATTGACGTCGATCGGAGAGTGACATTTCCAGGGCGAGTCCGGTTGAGACGCGCGTCGAGGGAGAACGAGGACCGAGGACGGAGAGGAGCGTTTCACGAGGAACGCTCCTCGCGCCGATTTCGTCGATTTTCGCGCTGCGAATAATAATGCGATTTGTGATGCGCGCGATTGGTCCGCGTGTTGTTTTGCGATCCCGCCTGGCCTTTAAGAGTAGTTGCGATTAGGCAAACATTGGAAATTTATCTAACGCAACCGTAAGATTAATGCGCGTTTTACGAGAAAAAAATGTATGAGCTACATGATGTGGTGGAGCGAAAATTTGAATAACCGGCGCGATTGAAATCTACCTCGCGGCGCGCGGCGCGGGCGGAGGTATATAAGTCCCGATATTTTGCAATCACTTTCGCCGGGTTTACTTTCGAATCGCCGACGAAAACAGACGAAATACGCTATACGTATACTCACGGAGTCGCGGAGCAGCGACGCAATTGCCGCGGAAGCGGCTCGTATAATTCAATGTTTGCGCTTTAAACAGGTTTGCGCGGATTTAGCATAAGTATTGGCGCGTGCAAATGGCAAAGAGTAACAAATCGTATTTACACGCATAAATATGGAAACGGAATATGCCTGAGAGAGGGATAATCTGCAGGAAGAGGCAGGAAAGGGCATATATGTATAACGCGCGGCCCTTTGAGAATATTCCGTCCGAGCAACGCGCACGGAGATTACATTGTTAACGTTCCGGCCCGGCGGTCGTTATCCCGGCTAATAATTCTCATCTGATTCAAGGATAAAAACGAAACCACGGCGATGTTTTCAATGTTTTCAATGTTTTTTTTTATTCCTATACAATTATAATTACAATTATAAAAAGCTTTAACGATCGCGTCTACCTCGCGCTCTTTTTATACACCTCCCACGATTGTTATTCCGCGAGAGAAAAACGTTGCCGGTTGGGGGGGGGGAATAGATGCACGCTATACGCACACGGACTCTTTGCTCCGGTCGTTCGCGACGAAATTCAGACGTAAATCGGGGACGTCCACGGGTGGTCCAAGGATCTCGACCTGGAAACTTGAATAAGGCAATGAGCCTGCAAGCAACGCTTAACGCGAAAACGAGTGCGCGCGTAATATATAGATATGCGAAATGCAGCGACGTAAATGTCAGGGTCATCATCGCGGCGGCGTAACGCGGCAAATACCAATTAAATACCAATGCCGCCCCGGCGGATTTATATATTCGTATAGAATACGGACATTTTCTCACGTACCAATCGGATCAAAGGTTGCGGTATGCGGCGAACGTGAAATACAACCGGATTGTTGTTTAACTCCGCGACGTACGTGTTGCATATCCAGCTTCTCGGCGGGGAACGAATCTTCGGCGTCTCAAACCGATCTATAGTGCTTCCTCTATTGCTAGACTCTCGTTCGGCTCCTTTTTCCTAAAAATCTTCCCCGTCGCATTCCTTCTTTTTCTTAGTTGTTTTTTCAGGTCCGATCGCGAACGGAATCGCGCGCCGCGCCGCTGGAACGTCTCGAGATTAATCGCGCGTCCTCCCGGCTTCGTTCGTGGCGTTCACCGGGCGTTCTCACGTGGCGTTGGGGAGGATGAGCCTCGTGGATCGGTCGGGAGAGGAGAACGGAGGGAGACGCGTGCGCGGGGCGCGCGCTGATATCGCGAAAAATTGAAGAGACGAACGAGACTCGCGCGCCGCTTCGTTAACGCGCCGTGCCGCGTCCATTAATTTTCCCACCGGAAAACGCCACGCCGCGTAAACACCGATAGATCTTGGTCGGCCGGCCGACTACGCGCGGTCAACCGGAGAGGCAACCGGTTGTCGAGACGCAGCGAGACGCCGCTGCGGCCGCGGCCGCTTGCTCGACGTACGGGTGCGTTTCGGTGCGTTGTCGATTACTCAAGATGCGTATAGGTTTAACGGGAAATCCATATTATATATTACACTTGAAGATATCCGGCGTGAATTCGCCCGTTTCACCGCCCTCGAACTCGCGGCTCGCTCTAATCAAGATTTAACCGCCGGATTCGCCTCCGAAAAAGACTGGATTCGCGCGCCTCAGGAAGCGTGGTGGCCGCGAGCGAAGGATCACTCTCGATCTGCTCTCTCTCTCTCTCTCTCTCTTCTCTGGAGAACGCGTCTGTAATTAAAATCGTAGACAGCCGGAAATTAAAGTATGCCCGTCCTAAGGCTGAACCCCCACCGGAAACCGGAGTCGTTACTCACATATTCTTTTTCGTGTAAACGCCAGGTACATTCGCGGAACTATAATCTCGCTCACTGACTTAAAGTGTGCACTAATTGTAAGCTTTAAGCTCGACTCGTTGAACGGGGAC